AATAAGTGGGATATTGATTATGAATACGGACTTCACTTTATACATTGATTATTATATCACTTTATTTATTATTGCATTTTGGTGGAAGAATGATTTGTTATGCGATGAACTAATTTTTACTATATATATCACTTATTTATATATAATTTTGGAGGATATTTGCTGTTTTGATTTAGAAAGTAAAATTATTATAGTGAGCACTCTAAAAATAGCAGCTGTAACACACAAGGTAACCACAGTAAACCTCCGAATAACAATAAGTAAAATAAAGTGCAGAGCTAATAATTAGTCATAAGGATAAATATATAAATAAATCATGAGCATAAGTGGTGAGTAAGTAATAGTTCATCCAATGAAGGAATAAAGTTCAAATAGCACTGGTGGGTGATCTCTTCAACAGCAGATTTCTAAATATACTTGTGACTGGAACCAATAGAAAAAATGTGCACTCACCGAAAGCGCATAAGTTATGCGCATATAAATAAATACCCACCAAGGATCTCTAAGATGGGCGGATGGTGAGCTTCCTTCTTCATGTTATGGTCATCCAAGCCTGGGGCAGTATGGAAATCTGCTGGGTCTAGAGGTCCCCTTAAGGATAGATAGGTGCTTAGCCTGGGTACAGGGCTCCCTACTCTGGATGCTCATTCCCGCCTACTGTGCCCACTCCTAGGAGCTTACATCTTTTCTACGGGACTATATATAACTGGAAACTAGTGTGCCTTTTATTGTTCTGGGCATGATGGTGCTTGTCTCTTTTCTAGCCCCTGCAGCTCTTCCTTCATCTTCTTGCAGGTTGTCTTCCCTACTCTCTGCAATGAGTTGATTTCTTAAAACTGGAGAGTGCAAAAGCTGGTGCAGTTCTGCATGGAAACCAGTTTGTGGGGGGGTGGGGTCAAAGCTTCATTGGAAAAGCTGAAATTAGAAGCTGATTGGCTACCATGCACAGCTGCACAATTTTGTGCACACTCCAGTTTTAGTAAATCAACCCCTATGTGTTTTTACACTAAGTCTAAGGGTGAATTTGGGGTGTGGGCTGTGAGGTACAGTATATGTTCTGTTTTTAGTAAGTGTGTATGTAGTGCACATTCTTACTTTATTGCAGTTTTTAATTAAAAAAAACAATAGCTTTATAAAAGAAAGATCTTTCTTTGTATGCATATATATCTATATAGTCCTCCCGCGCTCAGACTGTCACTCTATATACAGCCGACCAACACAAAGCTTCCAGCACAAAGACAGAGACGCAAATATGCGGCCTCACGGAACTGGGCTTTTTTCCGTGGGGCCGCATATTTGCATGTCTGTCTTTGTGCTGGGAGCACGCCACTTGGCGCGCTCCCAGCACAGACCGCAGTGTCACTGAGAGCCCCGGGTCCCGTTCTAACGATCGGGACCCAGGAATCCTGATTCCGGGTCACATGATTGCTGTGATAGCCTCTGATTGGCTATCACAGTGATCAGTTACTGTATAGCTCGGCCCCCTTGTTTTTTTTTTTTTCTCTTTCTATGAATGGAGAAGAGAGATACATTGCATCTCTCTAACTCCTGGCATAGAGAGAAAAAAAAAACAAGATAAATATTAAAAAAATGAAAAAAGGAAAAAAAAAAAAAACCTAGATCAAGGTTTGATCTAGGTTAGTGTTTGGGTCAAGGTCAGGGTCAAAGGTCAGGATTAAAAAAAAAAAAAAAATCCGTGTCAGTTAGTGTTAATGTCAGTGTCGACAAAAGCAAAATGTGCACTATTGTTTCTGGGCTGTATTACAGGTACAAACAACAAATAACATACACATATATGGTATCGCTGCGATCGGCAAGAGCTGGAGAATTTATTTTTGGTTGTTCTTTGGTGGTAGGTTATGGTCATAACAAGAAACACACAGCTAAATAGAAAAATATTATTTTTTTTTTACTATTTTGGGCCAGTTTTCCTTTTGATAATAAAAAAAAAAATCGGGAGCTATCCATTACCATTTACCAACAAATGAAAGCCCAATTTGTCCTGAAAAAATTAAGGTATAATCCACCTGGATGTACAAAGTAGTTGTGACGATATGTACGGTTTTACTATCACATGTCAACGTTGCAGAATTGTGCTTCGCCATTTAGATTTGTTTTACCCTTAGGCGTGAAGGGGTTAAGAGATATATTATTATTAGCGCGGCACCAAAGTATTCTATTTCTTTGTATGGGTATATACTGTAATTGACATGTATAGTACCATGAAAGTCTCATTGTCTTTCCCTTTTGTGGTTGTGGGTACAACGCTTTGAGTTCTGTAATCTACTCACCCTATGATATGTTAAAATGTTTATAGAGGCATTTGAAGCTTCTCCTTTACATACCATAGCGTCCTCATTGGATGTAGTAGATACAAAAGTAGTGACCCAGCCACACATCTCGAGAATTTACATACCAAATCTGCAATGGCAGTCTCCATATTGCTCCATTTGAATGCATTTTTATTGTCCATGCAGGGTAAATCAACAGGTTCAATTTAATAGCAGTCCCAGCAGCAGCACCTAATCCCTTTCCTCCCACTCACCCACTCCTATGGGTATGGTAGATTATATGACTCACTCCCCTTCCTTCCATATATTAGAGCGGGTGCTGAGCAATTGGCTACTCAGGCACCTGGCACTGTCACATGGGGGCCAAGAGGTAGTCCCCAGGTTAATTTTCTTTGCTCTCACCAGCCGAACAGAGCAGCAAAGAAGGTAAATCTGTGCAGTTGGTGGTGCTGACATTAATGTGAACCTGTTGCTCTGCTTTGCAGAGAACCCCAGGTTCACATTAAGGTGATAGACCACAGTTTTTATTATATGTTACATTAAAGAGTATTTTTTGTGATAGTGCAAGGCCTACAGCCATCCCTTAACCAGACTTAGTTGGGGGCCACCAGTGCACAATTATTACATGGTATGTATTGGATTGCTAACAGACCAGAAAGAACACATCCGTGTTTAGATTACTGAAAACACATTATTTTAACATTTACATTTTAAATTTTATTTACAATAAATATAATTTACAGTAAATATATATTTTAATAAAAACTGACCCGAAACCATTAGTGTTCCTTGTAAAGCCAATGGGATGTGTATAAGGAGTAAATCAAATTATCTTACAAAAGGCTCAAATCACAAAGCCAACACCCGAATGAGGATTCTTCTTTTCCATTAATGACAGTTATTTTTAGGTGAGTCCAATTAAATTTGCAAATCAGGTGGATGAATAAAAGATCCTTATCTTTGTGCGAAAGCTCTATGAATGGAACCTAAGGCATTGAAAAGCACTATACCATAGACGCCCATTCCTCTGCATTTCATGCATGTCATAAAAGTTTCCCTTTTGTGCTATAAAAAATATTTTTCTTAGCACGGTATTTGTTGTTGAGGATGATTTTTTTTTACTGCATAAAGTGGTAAAGCATTTTTGGCAGTGACTATATTGCTCTTTCCTTTGTTTATATCCTGGCATGGTATGTGGCAGGCCGTCCCTTATGCCACCATTTGTTGACACTGAACTGTAGCCAAGAACATTTTCATGTTGAGAATTCACTAACAAAATATCCATACATAGTTCATCTTCCTGTGTCACGAACCTTGTGAACATTCAGAAGCTTGGGATCAATAAAGCAAAATGAAACAATTGCCAGTTAATATAGCTAACATTTAGTAAATGGAGATTGATATTTTTTTCTCCTTTGTACATGTTTAGAGCTTTAAATGAGTGGTGTTCCTGTTGAATTGCTGTACCTTTTCTCTGATACTTTCAAACCTGATAGTGGGGCAGTTTATATTCCTTCAGACTTTAGGGGGGTGGCCAATGGGAGTAGAACATATCCTGTTGTCGGTGGGAATAAACAATGCCCCATCTTTGGTGTAAGTGGGAGGAATAGTGGCAAATAATTGGAGTCAGTGGGAAGAATTGTGTCCCATTGTTGGCGTCAGTGGGAGGAATTGTGTCTCATTATTGGTATTAATGGAAGAAATTGTGTTCCATCACAGGTGTCATTGGGAGGAATAGTGTCCCATTATTGGTATTAATGGAAGAAATTGTGTTCCATCACAGGTGTCATTGGGAGGAATAGTGTCCCATTGTTAGTATCAGTGGAAGGAATAGTGTCTTATCACTGGTGTCATTGGAAGAAATTGTGCCCCATTGTTGGAGTAACCAGCAGGAATTACCGGTATACCCCATTGTTGGTGTCAATGGTTGACTAGTGCCCCAAGGGTTGGATAAAGGCAAGCAAAGTGCCGGATAAAGGGAAGCAAAGGGCCAACCTTTGGAGACCACTGGTGTAGAGTAAAGCAAAGCTTCTCTGAGTTTAATAAGTAAAACTTCAATCATCTAATCATTATCTTACTTGTACAGTACAGGACACAAGATCTGTAGTCATAGACCTTGGGTTATATGCTGCTACCTTCAGGTGATTGGACACCCCCCTAGTGCCCCCTCATATTACCCTATCCACTTCTCGGGACTCCATTTTTTGTATTTGTTTGTATCTCAAGGCAAATCTAAATACTTTAAGAAATTAGTTTTTGTAATTTCTTTAAATACATGCACATTTTCCCATGTACTATCTCTTTTAAAGGTTACAAGTACAGAAAAATACCTGTTGACTGCTAGAATTCCACTATATTCCTGACTTCTAACTAAGTGTTATCACCCATTCCCAGATCTCTTTTTCTGAACTACAGAGCACGTTGTCCTTATGTTTGTGAGATGAGTAGAGGGGAGTTATTTATAGTCCAAAATGGGAAAGCTCAAGCAGGGCTAACACTGTATTTGAGATTTTAATGAAGCAGAGGCAGTGTTATCAGCGTAAATAGGTAGTTAGACGTTTACTGGATTTTTGGCAAACCAATAGGTATTTTTCTGTACTTACAGCCTTTTAAATGGAAAGGCATACATTGCAAAAATTTAGTGCATGTGTTTATTTTGGGGGGGGGGGGGGTTTTTGTTCTTTGTTTTTTTTGCAGAGACATACCTCTTAACCTCCCTGGCGGTATTTCCGAGTGTATCTCGGGGTAAAGTTTCAGTACCACAAGCGGTAACCCCGAGCTACACTCGGGCTTACCATGCGGCTCTTCTCCGGGATCTGTTCTTCTCTCTACCCTGCGCTCCTGTGATGTCCCTCCTGCAGTGTCCCCCGGCAATGTCCTCTGGCAGATGCCAGCATCTGTCTTCTGGGTTCCGTTCCCTGCGACGTCAGGATGTACAGGGACGGAAAGGCGGGAAATTTGAAAATGACAAAAAGTGCCATTCACTAAAATCACATAGTAAAGCATTACTGTATCAAAGCGTTTCACATACATTTTGTCCCTAGTGCTTTGTCCTGTGCCCTGCCTGCATTTTTACTGTTCTGCCTGGAAACTGAGAAACGTCCATGGCGTCCAAAAAGCATCCCTTTAGGTAAAAATCGGTTTTAGACCAGCTAGAGAACAGCGATAGTAAATTAGAACTACTTGCAGAATTGAGTGATAAGGATTCGTGGGGAAATTCATCATCAGACACTGAAAACAATTTTGCGACTTTGCTCAGTGATGTGCGAACTTGGCGCTATACTTCAAATTTCAGTGTTTTTGGTTTGATTATATTATTGAATTAAATTTATTATTATTATATTATTTTTTATGATTATTTATTAAATTATAATTTATGATTTCGTGTTTCAAGTTTTATCCTACCGCTTTGAGCACAGAAATTGGGACATAATCAGACCGCTAGGGAGGTTAATTTACCTTGCACATGACTTGGAACCTAAAGTGACATTAAATGCTGGTTTCATATTTCCCAAAAGGGTTTTTGTAATTTTCCCGTTTTCAAGATAGTATAAAGTGAACGTTTTTATTAGACATAATTGTACAATGTCACCAAATAAGGAAGTTGCTCTAAAAAGTACAAATATTGCAAGCAAAATGTAGTTAAACTCAGTTTTGTTTTTTGTTTTTTTAAGAATTCTATTCAAGTATGTACTCTTAACTTAAAGTGGTTCTAAAGGCTCAAGGTTTTTTACTGCCATTGTTGACCTCCTTCCAGGAATACTTGTTGTCTGATTGTTTCTGGCTTCAGTAGTTTCTAAACATTTTGCCTTGAACAAGCATGACTGTAAGAAAGTCAGCATGAAGTCCTAACACCTGATTTTCATATAGTACTTGTTTAAGGCCAATGCCTCAGAAAGTATTGAAGCCATTGGATCAATATGACAACCAGATGACTAACATTCCCAAAACAAGAGATTAGCAACTTCAGCCTCCATATTCTCTTAGTACAGGCTTTCTACAAAATAAGTAAATCCCTGGGCTCATATCTTCAATCCCAATAACTTAAAGCACTTTTGGGCTGGTGTCAGGCCTTAAAGTGGTTGTAAAGGCTAAAGAATAGAATGCATGAAGGTAAAAAAACCTGTGTGCAGCAGCCCACCCATCCCTTACCTGACCTCCATCCAATGCAGAGATGTTCACGATAGCCTTGACTGTATGGGGACTCTCCCTCCACATTGGCTCCTGCTGCTGTCAATCACAAACAGTGAACCAATAAGGAGAGAGTAGGGAGGAGCAGAGCCTTAGTGTCTTATGGATGCATGGAGTGTGTTATGGATGCATAGAGCAGCGGCTTTCTCTGGGAGCACTGCTTGAGGGGGAGGAGCCAGGAGCGCCGCAGGAGACCCAAAAAAGTAGAGAATCGGGGCAGCCGCGTGCAAAACTACTGCACAGAGCAGGTAAGTATAACACGTTTGTTATTTTATTTAAAAAAAGAAAAATTAACTTTTAGTATCACTTTAAGGGCTCATGTAGACGGGGTGTTTGAAAAACTCTTCTGAACGATGGAAACTGACTGCTGGAAAACGTAGGTCAAAAATTTTCAGTTTAGCTGCGCTTGCATACCACGGTTATGTGCGTATATGTGCGTTTGCGTTTAGAAGCGTTTTTAAAAGATAACCTCAGGAGGCCTTCCCAAATGCCCAGAATGCACTGAAAAATAGTAAAAAAATTAACTATTTCAGACATTTTGGGAGGAATAAAGAGAACAGAAGCAGAGAGAGCAGTATGTGTTGAGATTACCTGTCTTTTGTATTCACTATGGATCCCATCATGAGCATAATGCAGCACGTTCTACCATTTTTTTCCTTCACGATAATCCTGGAACTGACTCGCTGGTATACTGGGTCCATTTGAACACATGGAAAACGCTTTGCATGCATTTCTGAAGATGAAAAAAGGCTCTGGACAGCATCTGGTCATGGAAAAGTTAAAAAACACTTCTAAATGCAAACTCTTATAAATGCATTTAACCGCGTTTACATGCGTTTGGCGTTTGAAATGCCTGTAAAATCTTCTCCTAAACGCAAGTTTTGTGTATTAAAAAAAAAAAAACGACTGTAAACTCAACTGCCTGTAAACTACTGTAAACAACATAGTGTACATGGACACATAGGAAAATATTAGGGAGAGTTCAGGGGCTGCTGAAAAAACGCTGAACAGCTCCTGAACGTCAGTTTAGCAGCTGCAGTGTACATGAGCCCTAAAAAGTGCCTTCTCTCAGCCGCCTCCAAATCTCCAATTTTTTTTTTATTTATTTTTTTTTTTGCTGCTGTGATCCAACTTTCTGGGTGGCTATGTTCATTCTCCATGGCCTGAGCTTAGTGTATATAGGAACATAGCACCCTCACTTGCTTGCTGCCCGATGGACTATGGAGTATTGGATGTGTAGTGTGCATAAAGCAGTGTACATGGACTGCGCCTTGCTCATTCTAAACAAATGGAGATGAGGGGAAAAGGGAGAGGTTCAGGAGCTCACAGAGGGTGTTAAAAGAAGGCAGAAAAACACATGAAAGCACATTTCCTGAAAAATAGATTTTAATGCCATTTAGTAGTGGATATGCATGGAATGTTTTTGGAAAATATTTGCATTTGCAAAAGGGGAATATTCAACAATCAAACAAATTGTTTTTAGTGAATGAAAATTGAGAAGTGGAAACCAGTTGGGGAAAGTGGCAGTCTAACCATATAGGGCCTTAATAAATAGCCCACAGTGTTTTCAAGACCTAACCACACACCATAATAGCAGCACGCCATCAGGCTGCAGATCCCGGGCTGACCACATATAACAAGTTATTCTAACAATGTCATTGCTTTTTTAATGGCATGTAAACCCTAACAACAATGAAAGTCTCTTATTTGCTCCCTTTTGGTCTGTTAAATATGCCTTACCCTAGGTTCACACCTATACAGGTTGCATTTGAGCTCTTTCTGCATTGCATTTTGCATTTTTGTACTTGCGTTTTTGCCACGTTTTTGCTTTTTTCTTTTTTTTTCTCAATTTTTTTTTTTCTTGTTGCTAGGCAGATTTAAAATGCAGATGCAGCTACATTGTAATACATGCTTTTCTGCAGCCTTTCCATTGAAGTCTTTAGAAACAAAAACACAACTTTTTGCATTTAAAATAGTCTCTGACCCTTTCCAAAAACTGCACCTGGTGAAATCGCACAGGTGTGAACATGTCCCGTAGGAAATCATGTTAAATGGACTATACTGTGTTTCTGCAAAATCCTTCCAGAAATTGTCAGCTAATACTTCTTGTATTCTCTGGCACTGCTACACTTTTATTATTCCTAGCTACCTCTGAGGACTACAGAACCCCTCCCCTTTATGTTATAAAGAAGAGCTGGGAGGGGAGTTATTGTAGTCATGTCCTAGCGTGACAATACCACTCCTCCATAAATATGGCTCACTGCAAATCAGGGGCGGACTGACCATTCGAGCACTCAGGCACTGCCCGAGGGCCCGGGGTCAGTAGGGGGCCCCATGAGATGCCCCTGGTACCTTTCATTGCTTTTTTCATAGGCTTTTTTGGGTGTGGGAGAGGACATGGGGGCCCCATGATCCCCTATTGCCCGGGGGCCCCATGAGTTGTCAGCCCATCCCTGCTGCAAATGCAGCCATCACATCTAAGGACTGGCAGGCTGCAATATAAACAATCTGTTTGTCAAATGAGATGTACACATAGAAAACAAATTCGAGTTTATAGACTTCATAGACATGTTGAAATGAGAGCAAATAATTCTGATGTTTTGTATGCCCCAAATATCCAGCTTAGTGGGTTGGAGTAAAGACTGTCATTGCCCATCAGTTCTTGTCTGAGTGTTGTCCATATGCTTTCAACCTGCTTCCTAGCAATGTGTAATTTTATAACATTTATACATGCAACGGGATTGATTTACTAAAGGAGTAGTGAAGAAATGTTCAATTAGTTTAGTAAATAAAGTATAGCTGTTTTCACTTAAATTAATCCAATTATGTAGGGCGGTTTTAAAAATTGACCAAATTTTGTAAGTTATGCAGACATAACTTCATTGTATTCTTTGTATTTTCTTTATGTGAACGTTCTCTGGTGTTTTAGTAGAGTAGTAGGGCTTGTGTAGACAGGCTTTGTTTATAAATGCTGTATTTTGTGTGTTTGGTGCACAGGCTGTGTTTAACCTGTTTTTGCCTGCAACATGACTATATCTCAAAAAGGACTGTCTGGGTCAAGAGAAATGCAAAGCATATTGAATGCAGCCTCAGAATGGTCATCTAAATCATATAGTTAGGCCTCTTGCACACAGTGGTACTTAACCGTACACACATGCAAAGGCCATGTTTGCCCACACAGGGATGCACAGGTGTCTGCGTAGTCTCTGCATCCCTATAAGCATTAGCACAGGGATGCATGGAATTTCTGTGTATCCCCATGCAGGCAAACTGAACCCTCGTACAGGCCTACACTTAAGTAGGCTTGTGTGAACAAGGCTTTACAGTAAAAAGAAATTGATAGATGTGCAGTAAAGCATGCTTCAAATGCAAGTCAGATGCAAAAAAAACATAGCTCTTACAGCCCAACTCCAGGCACAAAAAATACCCTTGCAGTGCAGCTTCTTCATACTACAAGGGTTAAATGCTTGTTACGTCTAGGGGTAGAGGAATAAGGTGTAATACGTACCTTTTATACTACCTCACTCTGGCTGGCTCTCTCCATCATCTTTCTAAGCTCTGTGGCCTGTGGCCCCATTAAGTAAAATGCAGGACTAATGGCCATGCATTGAATGTGATAATGCCAAGGGCCAGCTCACAGCCCAGAGCTTCAGAATGATGTGGAAAGTGCTGGTGGATAGGAAAGTGAAGAACACAGTAAGTAGTACAGCCTCTTACTAGTCTTCCCTAGACCTAATGAGCATTTAGCCCTTGCACTGTGGGTGGCAGAAACTGCTGTTGCAATTCCTAAGTCTTGCAGCAGCCTCCCAAACTTTCATGTAATGGCCATACGCTTGGTTCTT